TATGCTAAACGACTGCCTCATTCACCGCAGGAGGAGAAACAGTAGATAAACATTGCAATGGGAAGAACAGTTGTGGAAAGGGACAGACGTGGGCTAGGTGTGTGATCTTGGATAAATAATATGATCTCCTTAAGCCTCATTTCCCTGGGTGTAAACTAGAGCAGTGTTTTTCAACCTTTTTTGGGCAAAGGCACACTTGTTTCATGAAAAAAATCACGAGGCACACCACCATTAGAAAATGTTAAAAAATTTAACTCTGTGCCTATATTGACTATATATAAAGTAATTCTCTTGAATAGGAATCAAATAAACACAAAGAAAGTATTTTATAATTACTTTATTATGAAATATTAAGTGAACAAAATAGTGAAAAATTATAAAATTCTTGTCTTGTCTGCACCTACGGCACACCAGGCAACATCTCGCGGCACGGACAGCGGTTGAAAAACGCTGAACTAGAGGATGATGCTGCCCTAGGGTTTTGTTATGAGGACATACATAGAACTCAAACACATGACTGTTCTATGGCAGACATTTAATAAATGGGAGCCAAATGCATTCTACCTTTGCATATTTTATGAGAGGTAAAAAGCTGGACATGAAAATGAACCAAATCACTAGCAAAATTGCTACACCCCTTTGGAAGTGGTAATTTATTTTTAATTTTCCTGCCTCCAATCTCCCATGCCTTCTGATTAAAATCATGGTATTTGTAGCTTCAGGAGCATAACTGCCTTGTACTTGTCCTCAATATTGAATAAACTTAGTTATATTTTTAGATAACTTAGCATTGCATGTTTTATTTTTAGGGACCCTAGACACAAGCAAATAACCAATACAATCGATGTAAAAGCAGTTCATATTGAAATCACTCTGCTCTAACTCCTTATAGCTGCATTTCCGTTCTTTAAGGTGAGGTTTTGTGAAGTATGTTATCTATTAAACTGATTTTATAGAAAATTGCTAGAGGCTAGTAAGAGGGATAAGCATCTTTGAGGTGGGTTTTTTTCTCTCTTTTCTTTTTCCATGTGAATTTCAGATTCTTCAATGTTATAATGTGGATAACACATTCTGGAGATGTAGGAATCCTCTTATCTTTTAGAGATACACTGAGTGGCCAGATTATTATGATCTCTGAATGCATAATAACCTGGCCACTAGGTGTATACCCTATATAATAAAAGGCCAACATGCAAATTGTTCCCTCAACCAGGAGTTCAACCAGCAGGCAGGCTGGCCAACCCATGTACCCTCCCCCTGGCAAGGCTGGCCAAACGCTGAGTGACCAGATTATTATTCGTTCAGAGATCATAATAATCTGGCCACTCAGTGTATGTTATCCACAGATATTATTTGAGAAACAATAAAATAATTTTTCTTCTTGTCTTTTTTGTGATACGTTTTCCATAAGCAAAATAACAGGGGCAGCAGGATTGGAGAGTTGGAGAGAGCGGAGAGAGGGAATTCAAGAAAAAAATATATTTTAAAATAGATGTCACAAATCCTAATGCCTAAAGGACAAAGTGACATCAAGATCAGAGGTAGGCCCGGCCAATATGGCCCAGTGGCACATGCCCGGGTTATGGGCTCGATCCCCAGTAGGGAGTGGGCAAAAGGCAGCGGGTTGATGATTCTCTCTCATCATGGATGTTCCTACCTCTCTCTCCCTCTCCCTTCCTCTCTCTGAAATTAATTTTTTAAAAATTTAAAAAAATATATATATATTAGAAGTAGGCTAGATGGATTGTAAGAGAAGAGGGTGGTGGCAAACTGCATAACATGTGTTCTGTCTGCTGCAGCACAAACTTTAAAAAACATTCTGTGGGCCTGGGCCTGTCTCTGGGCCCCACCTTCCTCAGGCTGCCAGCACAAAGCCCCTGTTCTAAGAAGACTGCTTCCATTTTTGTTTCAAAAACAGTGCCATGTGAAAGAACATAAAGAGCACCTTCTGAGACCCGAACTGCGATGTGTTGAAGGGAAAGCAGGAGGGATGAGCCTGGACACTGTGCTCCTCTCTCCCTTGGCCGTGGCTACTGTCAGGCCCATCTCCAGGTCAGCAGAGGAGATCCCGTTTATGGCTTAGCACTATGTTATCCATTATTCTGTGTGCTTTACTTATACCTCGCTCCCCATTTCATCCTCAGAATGGTACTATTACTATCCCCATTTGACAGATAAGGCTCAGAGAAGGTAAGCCACTGGCCCACAGTCATATAGCTAACAGGCAGTGGAACTGGAATTAAAATCCAGGCTACCTGGCTTTAAAACCCACACTCTTAACTGCTATGCCAAACTCAGTCTGTGAGATGTCTTGCTCCCCATGAGGGGTATATCCTTTCTGAATGTTTTTGGCCAAAGGAAACAGTGACACTGGCTAACAGTGTCTAGAACAAGTATTTTCCCACAAAATACTTGATTGGCAGGTGTCTACCAGCATTGGTGCCATAGCTCAGCAATGTCAGAGGCAACTTCTTTTTCATAGTTGCAGGATGGCTAGCTCTGTGCTGGGCATGATATATGAAATCAAGAAAGCAAGAAATGGGAAGGGGTGGCACCAGCTCATGAGATCCTTTTATCCAGGAAACTCAACTCTTTCACTGAAGTCCCCAACAGCCTTCAGCGTCACCTCATTGCCAGGATGACATCCTGTGGCCATGTTTGGTTGCAAAGGAATCTGAGACAACAGGCCTTTCCAGCCCCAAGAGTGGAAGAAGGCAAGGAAATATTTGATGGGGAACAGGTGTTGCTTAGCCAACCATGGGGGTTTGGTCGGAAAACACCAACAGAACTTCATCATACAGTGTGTCACCCAGGCCATGGGCCCAAGGAAAGCTAAATAGCAAATATTGAAGTTTTCCACAAAACCAAAACTGAATTGTAGCGCTCCTCTTGCCTTTATAAAGTATCTGCTTTGTCCCATTTTCAAACATGTGAAATTACTTGTCCTCGTTTTCCTGATCAAATCTATCTAGGCAGTGTTTAAAAACTAATTATTTGATTAGTTTAAGTTATGCTGTTCTTGGTTATGTTATTTTTATTAAAATGTAACCTCCTTATTTACGATGAATAAATCAAAATGACAGTTTTTGCCCTAACTGGTTTGGCTCAGTGGATAGAGCATCAGCCAGTGGACTCAAGATTCCCAGGTTCGATTCCAGTCAAGGGCATGTACCTTGGTTGCTGGCACATCCCCAGTAGGGGTGTGCAGTAGGCAGCTGATCTATGTTTATCTCTCATCGATGTTTCTAACTCTCTATCCTTCTCCCTTCCCCTCTGTAAAAAATCAATAAAATATATATTTTTAACAATGACAGTTTTTACTTGTTTTAAAATTGTATTGAAATTTTTCAATAATTAGAAACTAGTAAACTTCAGTACTGACAATATAAAACATATTATTTGAATTTATACTCTATTTTCCACTTTGCATTGGCTTTCCTGGGTCTTTCCTCCACTTTAATTGGAATATTTTTCTTTTATATTGTTTACATGGTACACAAACTCAGAAAACCTGTTAAAGCAACTACATAATGCAATCTACAAATCCAGATAACCTATTGTTATGGAAACTAGGAATAGAAACAGTACTCTAGTAATTCCTTTGGACAACTATGGCTGTGTGTGTGTGTGTGTGTTTTCATTAGTTTATTCATCATTTTTTAAAAGTTGGTAATGAACCCAAAATCTGTCATTGATCTGTCCATAAATAGGCCCAGTACCCTCCAGCCACTAAATCAGCATTTTATTATGAACCATAGTCATTGCTAAATTATGCCATGTGATATCAAGAAATCTTCGGTAGGAGTGTGTTGATTAGTCAGCCTGGCCAACTCTGGGCGTGGTGGGAAGAACATCTGAGGGATCTGAGCTGGGTTCCAACCTCTCTGATCTTACTAAGAGCTGTGTGACCCTCTCAGGACGCTGAGGCACTCAGTGTTATCATTTGCAGGATGCTTCACTGAGGGATCAAACCTGAAGCAGGGAACTGTCCTCTTCCATAAAACTGAGGAATCACAAGGTAATCAGTTTGAGGACTGAAATTACTTTGTGTGTAACTGGCAAAGTGTCTGGTACATAGTAAGCTCTCAGGAAAACGCTAACTATTCTTACTCTTCTTTTCTATTTTCCAATTTGTGGTAAATGATTCCCAAACCTGCCTAGAAAATTGTCCCACATCTGTGAATATCTGACAGATGCTGTTAACTGAACAAGCCCTTAAGGAGGGTTGGAAAGGAGAATGCTGAGTCCTAACAGGCAATGCTGTTCCTCAGATCCCCTTACCTGTGACTTTTATTTTCTCTTGAAAGTCAATGTCAACTCTTATATTCAGACAGATGGGATAGAACGTTATCCTAATACCATCCCAACACTACTCAACAAGCCTCAAACCCCTTTTTTCCAAATCATAAGATTTCAACCTACAAGAATTAAACTTTTGTTCTTTTTTTTTTTTTTTTTTTTTTTTTTTTGCTTGTTCGTTGATGTTTGCCTAGTTATTTAATCGGCCTGTTTCCTGCTATGAAAAAAAAAAAAAAAAAGTTAAGGAAACAGGTTTCCTCGGGGCTAAACTTCCTTCCAGAAATCCGAGTTCTAGGAGGGGATAATCGCTGCACAATGGAATCCTTGGACAATCTGCCCATCCCCTCCTACCTCTGTCTCTGACAATGAGCTCCTTGTGTGCGTGGTGCCCAAACCTTGCCCTCGCCAGTCCGTGCCCGGCGGCTCACCAGGACGTGGGAGAGCAGCGCCCCGCGCCTCCCCTCCCGCAGCGGCGCGCGCGCGGGGCCCGGGGTGCGCGCCCGGGGACGCTCGGCCCGCGGGCGCCAGAAGGGGGAGACCGGGTGCCACTTGTGTGCCATCCACTAACTTCCAGCCGCCCCGGCGTGGGGAGGAGATCGCGCACCGGGGAGAAAACTCCACCTAGAAAGTTTCACCTTGCCGTGGGCGGGGGAACGGGGCGGGATCGCGACCCCTGCGGGTCCCGGTGCGGCGCGGGGGCAGGGAGGGCGCAGCCGCGTCCCCTCGCCGATCGGGGCCGGGCAGCACCTCTCCGGTCTCGGACCCGCGGACGCGGCCGACGATCACCACCCGCGACCGACAAGCACGTGCCGGGGCGGGCCGGGGGCCGGGCTCCGGGCCCGCAGCGGGGCCGTGCCTCCCCCGGACGCGCAGGGGCCGCCTGGGGCCGCGCGGCTCCCGGCTGAGTCAGCGGCGATCGGCGCGGAGGGAAGGGGTGGGGAGCGCGCCGCCGGCCGGTCGGACGCTCCGGAGATCGGGCCGCAGGTGGCGGTGACCGAGGCCCTGCCCGGCGCTTGGGGACCAGATGCGGAGCCCCGCGGGGGGCGCGGGCCGGACGCGGGACGGCTGCTGACTCGCCCGGAGGAGGAGGAGGCGCGGAGCGCGCGGTGGTCTCTGCGCCCTGGCTTCTCGGCGGCTCCGGGCACCGCAAGGTAACACCGCAGCCCCCTCCGGATCCCGCACCCACCCCTGGCTCTGCAGTCTGTCTCTTTGTTCCCCGGGGGACCTGCCTGCTGATCCCGGGGGTTGGGCGAGGGTTCGGGGGGCTTCGGGAACAGGGGATGTGGTCGGAGCTAGAGGGGGGCTTCTCTGTTTTAGGGGTTCGCTCCGGACGGCCACCTGTATGACTCAGAGGCGCTGGGAGGAGAGTGGTGTGTGTGTGTGTGTGTGTGTGTGTGTGTGTGTGTGCGCGCGCGCGCGCTTATGGCCAGGCGAGTTTTAAGGCTGTGATCTGACTCAGCCCTTACAGAAAGGATCTATCTGATCGGGGCCCCGTCCCGCGATGATGAGCCTACTGACAGGGTTCGAGCTCATAGGTGTCCTGTGCTTCACCTGCTCTGTCTGTATTGCGTGACGGTCCCTCCAAGAGACATATGTTTCTGGGAAGGGCTGAAGTCTGCATTTCTGGCAACTACACGGGACCTGCGATCCATCATGTTCAATTCATTGTACCTTCGCTCTTGACTGGGGCGCTGCGGAGGACAGCTATCTTATTAGGTAAACAAGTTGTAACCAGAGGTCGGATAGACCGGCTCGTACTGGCCTGATCATGAAAGCACGAATGAAAGTATTTTCACTGACCATGGCCAGTGCAGAATTTACCACAAGGTGCGGTTTCCCGTCTCATGCCTTTATGTTTCCAAAGAGCCGCTTGCAGATCTGGCAGTTGAGGAGGATTCCGGGGGCTCATGCATGGATAGCTGCCCGCTGTGTTTTACCTTATCGCACTGTGTGTTCAAAGGAGCGCTGGGTAGAATGAAATATCGTCACCTTTCTTAGGCAAAATAATCAGGACACTTGAATGGCCAAATTAAGATGGTCAGTGACTATGGTAAGATTGTGTAAACTGACATTGGAGAGATTATATGCTTATCTGGACCCTCTCCTGAATTTTAGGAAGGCTGTTCACGTATTGTAGAGTTGGGTTAGAGGTTTATTCTGTTGTTTCTGTCAGCCAGACACATGCGAATGGATTCAGAGAAACGTTATAGTCTTTTACAGCTAAACGGGTATAGTATAGCTGATTAATGACTTTTTTCTGCATGAAGATGATCTGAAAGCAATGTACATCATGTTTCTCTGTGCTGCTGGGACATAAATTGTGCTTTTATGTGAACTGTAAGTGTTGCCCGGGTTATTTACAGGTACAAAGCTTTCCTTTCCAGCTCTGAGTGGATTGGGTGGGCTTTGTGTTAACATGTAAACTTTCATAATGGAACAGAAGTGAGGTGGTTTGGTTCCAACCGTGTACTATAAGACTGGGTGTATTCAGTGTTCATTCCTTTTGAACTGCTGAATAACACAGGTGAGATTTACATCCCTCGTAAGAAATGTTTATAGTACCAGAAATGTGTCTGAGTGCCTATAAAATATACTGTTGTTTTTAAAACTCTTTTCAGGTTTCACACTTAACGGTGCATACGTCTCCGGTTATGAACCTGAAAATAGCTTTATTTTTACCGAATGTGATTTATGGTATATAGAAGATGGTCTGCTGACTACAGCTGTTTCAAAGACTGCTTTGTTCTTAGTCCATCCACAAATAGGGGTTTACATTCGATGTGCCTTCAGAATTAGGGAATGAAGGTTAAAGATTAGTGTATCTGAGTGTATAAGATTAACCACAGCCAGTCAATATGAAAGCGCATAACTGGAATCTTCATGACTTCTAAACCTACAATGAAAAAAATGACACTTTCTGAGCAGGAAAAATACCCCTCTTACAAATTCCATTTAAGACCTTCTAAGCATATGTTCCACTATAATCTTACATTTTTAAAATGTGTTTACATGAGGATTAAACTAAGAAATGCATTTCAGAAATCAGTTTCCTCAGCTGTTGTTTTTGTTTGTTTGGTTTTTTTAGTCCATAGCATTAGTCTTATTTTTCCTTTACAAATCTATACAGTAACTTCAAATAAACTTTTTCCTCAAATGCGGTCATGCCAAGATAAAGTGATAACTCAAAAAGTCTAACAGCCTCTCAGGACCACAGCAGTGGCTGCACCAGTGCTGATGGTGAGGCGCCTACCATGAGTGCACAGCTCCCTGCACATCAGGGCATCTCCCCTCCTTCTGCCCCTTTCCTCCTCTTCCCTTTCCCTCCATTTGGTCAGAGGCCCTTCCACGCCCTTGGATGCCCCGTTTCTCCATTCTCATGGCTTCTTTGTCACTGCCATTAGGTTTAATGCTCCTCACAAGAACATCTATGTTTTCTTTTTCCCCGTCATCCCTAATATTTTCCTTGAGCTGCTCTGTTTGTTCATGGCACACCCCAGTTCCTCATTGTGCCGCCTTCAGGGGAGGAAATGTGCAGAAACTCAAGTGCCAGGGAGTTCACCTCACTGGTGGATGTTGAAACTGTTGTCTTTGATTCTAGCCCTCAGGACATAGTTTCTTCATGAGCGTTGCTCAGCGCAAAATAAATACTCCTCTTAGTAATAAATGGTAGATGTACTGACTAAGGTCAATTCAGCCTCGCTTGAGTTAGCAGGCAAAGTTGCTGTCGGGCCCACTTTCTAAAAACAGCTAAGAATGGCATGTAGAGCATCATATGTGTTTGGTAGTAAGGGAACATTTTTTAAAAGAAAGTGAGGCCCAGCTGGTGTTGCTCAGTGGTTGAGCATCGGCCCATGAACCAAGAGGTCACTGGTTCGATTCCCCCAGACTGGGCACATGCCTAGGTTGGGGGCTTGATGCCCAGTGCGGCCAGGGGGTGGGGAGGAGGAAGAAGGGGGCAGCCAATTAATGTTGTTTCTTTCTTATCGATGTTTCTAACTCTATCCCTATCCCTTCCTCTCTCTCTAAAACTCAATGAAAACATTTTTAAAAAAAGAAGAAATTAAATCTCTGTCCCTCAAAGAATTTACAATCTAGGTATACAGATAATTAACACATAAAATGGAACCAAGACCCATATTATTAAAGAGATATCACACGAGAATGACATGGTTAGAAATCATCCCATTTGCTATTAAGTGCAATTTTAGTTTTTAGTCAAAAGATTGGAACTTAAAGACTCCTTAAAATTTTCAAGCTGCTATATCATCTTTCTGATAGTACAACAACCTTCCAAGGTAGACAACATCTTAACTTCCCCATATAATAGACAACAAAACTGTGCAGGAGTCTGGCTCCTATGGCTATCTGAACATCACCACACAGGATCTGCCCAGTCACCAATGGAGGTAAACTTTATGAAGCATTTCCAGTCACCAATGGAGGTAAACTTTATGAAGCATTTCCACAGATATAGGTTGGGCTCCTTGGGTTAGTGATGAATGATGAATATACATTTCTAGTATCTACGTGTTTTCTCACCTTCTCTTCCTCCAGTGTTTTAGTTTTTCTTGCTTTCTCTTTTTGTAGTAGAGCATAACAAGAAAAGCTTTGTTCACATGTGTGGGGCATTCTCCTATTATTAGGTTAAGAGTTGTGAGTAATTTTGTCATCTACCCTTCTATTAGAAAGCCCATTCTCAGATATCTCCTCAGTTGTGTTTAACACTATATTCTCTTTGGAATTTGTTTCAGTAAAAACATTCAGTAAAATCTGATTACTTTGCTTTTCAAGGACAAAATGAAAAGGTATTTTTATAAGCTGTAAATGTAATTGAGAGAAAAACTATACATCTGGCCGTTTGTAGCAGGAGGTGTAAACACAGTGCAATTAAAAAGAAAAAAGAAGCAGTTAACTGGCTAATCACATACCCAGGTATACATATTTCTGCTGTGATTATGTGAATTTCTGCAAGTATGTTTTGGATGATGCTCCTGTTGCTTTCTATTTCTGTAATAGCGATAGGGCCCATAGAAGTTATATAAGAGCTTATGAGCCTTATAAATTACATTATGGCCCATAGGACTTGAAAATGTAATTTCTCCAAATATAACAAAGGATTACTATGAAATATGGCCAGAGCAATTATAAAATGTGGACAGAGAATCACAGGTTCTAGTGAAAGCTAATTCCTGTAGTCCAAGAAAGTGATAAGGACTTGGTCATCATGGAGAATTTGTCATCACTTACTAGGCATAACTTGAGATCCTGGCAATGCAGCAGAGACTAAAAGAGACAAAAGTCTCTGACCTCGTGATATTCTATTCTATATTTAGGAAGGCAAATAATAAATAAAATACGTAAATAAAATGTGCTGTATATGAGGTGGTGATCAGAGCTATAAGGAAGCGTGAAATGGTGAAGTAGGATCAGGGGAAATCGGGCGGTGATTGAAAAATTCAGTCGTGGGATCAGAGGAGGCCTTACTTCAAAGACTAGAACCCGAAGGAGAAGAGAAAACAAGCCATGTGGAGATCTGGAGCAGGGCTTCTCCCCTGCATTCCTCGGGAGTGCCACTCTCAGTTTGTTTTGTCTGGAGTTATAGTCCACGGCCTGCACAGCTGGACATGCTGGCCTCTGGTTCCTTATGGGGAGTACCTGGGCAGTGCCTGCCATAGTCACTACAGTCTCCACATGAAGGTGAAGTTGTGGCCCTCATCCCTTGGTTTATGGAAGAAGAGAAGCCATGGTATCATCCATTTGCCTGGTCCCATCCTTGACGAGGGATATTGCTCCACATGGACAGTTTTCCTTCTTGTTTTCTACACTGGGAGCCTGGCCCAAAGGGATTTGTGGAGAGCAAAACCCATAGCTTTTGTCATGGGTGCCCCTCCATAGTATACACCTGGAGACAGCCCGGGGGTGGGAGTAGGAAGAAGGAAGGGGGGGGGGCCTTTTTTTTATAGCATGCAGTTGTCTGCTGTGCACTTCTTTCTTTCCTTTTTCTCTTACCTTCCTTACCTTTTCCCAGTCTTTTCTTCCTTCTTCCTCTTACGCTGTCTATATCCTCTACCAAGATTTGCAGACAGCTAACCTACACGGTAAAGCTAATCCTTTCAAGAGGGAAGGAGAGCCTGCTCAGAAAAAGCCCTAA